AACTAAGCATTCAATGGATGTAGAAAGAAGTTTACAGTTTATACACCAGAGGCGTCTGGGGACAGCGTACAGTATAGATATGAATACTGCTCATTATACAATAATAAAGACAGTAACATGAGATTCTAAAAACTATAACATTGCAAATAACAGATTTCAGTTGCACAGATTTTGGTTTGTGGATGCAGTACGGTCTTTCATGTTCATAGAACATTAAGCTCTGGAACTTCACAAGTGCAAAAATTCAAAATGAAAATGAATTTGCCCACTCACCAAGGTGCACAAAACTTTCGATATTATCTGGGAGAGATTATTTTGTAATAATTTTCCATTTCTACCAAGTCACTAGTTCACAGAGTGCATGTTTATTTCTAAGTGGGCGGTATCCCTGTGTTCCGCCTACCTGCCTGTTGCAATTTTTAGTTGGTGAGGACGAAACCAAGATCTCATGAGTGTCGGACATTGTTATTTACCAAAAGCTGTACCCATAGGTTTAAAAAACATTTTAAATATCTTATAGACATGAAGTAATTTTACTGGATAGGTGTTGTTAATTTATAGACACTGTTACACACCTTTAATACGTGAATAAATTATGTGGCTATATTACATTTGGATAGCATTGAACACACATTTATGTCGGCAAGGCTTCATTTGTCTAACTCATATAAAGTCAAGTGACGTATACATAGACAGTTTTTGTAGCTTCAGGATAATTGGAATCGGTTCCATTTGCATTTGTTTCATATTGTGTTTACACCGGGACACTCCGTATGTACTTTTTTGTCAGTCACTGTACCATTTCCTCACGTGGATTCTGCGTCCTATAAGGGACATAAGGTAGCGCTAACAGACCCATCTTCATTTATTTCATGTCCAGTGTCTGTCCATCTTCAATCGTTTACAATGAGCATGCCTAGCTGGCTGTTTTAATTATGTCTGATTACTTAGGCTCTTTATTTATTTATTATCATTATTATTATTTTATTTTATTTTATTTTTGGCTGTTTCGAACATTACACAAATACAAAGAAATGGCCACAAGATGTGAGAGAAGCTCACATCCCCACCAACCGGTGATAAGCTGATTTGGGGCAATTCATCCTCTATTTCTTCGCCCGCTTCGCTGTGCCTCACCCTCAACTGCTCATGTGTTCCTGTATCCCGTACACACCTTGAACAACGTGGACTACATTACACCTGCAAGTCACGAACTAAAAGACGAGCCAAACATATCATGTCCTCAGGCCTCTGGACACTCCTGTCTTTGTTCAGTAGCCACTTTTTACCTCCAGCAGAAAGTGACTAATTCCTGAATAACGGTGATGTTAACCCTAACTATTGTTAACGTGTTGTTCGAAACCAGTAGAGTACGGAAATTAAGGGATTGAAGTTTTTTATCCCCAGTCTGACAGCGATTGCAGAAGCGTCTTAGCTCAGTACAGAAAAAGAGAATGAAAAGTTGCTAACAAGGGATTTAGAATTCTGAAGCGCAATTTTGTATATACCTTATACTATGGGTGCTCCTATGTGATGTGCAGGGGTGTCTAGTACGCTATATCTGCTCCACGTTGGTACACGACACCAGACTCCATGAGGTGACTGGACCGACGGGATGTGACTCTAATCGCCTTTTACGCATTTCGTCAATTTTTTTTTTTTTTTTTTTTTTTGATAAATAACTTTAAAAACGACGTTTGGTCTTTACTACCTGGTAAGGTTTTCGCCAAGATTACCTCGTATTAATTTATTAATCTTTTATATTTATCCTCGTTTACTTGAATATTTACACTAAATTTTACTCATTTTGAAGTGAAGGTATGATAAAGACCACGTGAACTACGTCCACATTGATGTGGATCGATAACAGATAGTCAAAAAACAGACGCCCTTAATTAGACTAATATTGCAAAGCCAAACTAACCCACAGGGAGCTCAGTAATATTTGAAAAAACTATTTTGTGATAAGTACACTGAAGTTGTTTTGCTAAGGGAAATGGTGAAGGGTACTGAGAAAAACGCGAGTAGAGGCGGTGCTTTCTCTCCCCAGGATCAGCCTCTGACAGCACATCGAGTTTCCATGACAACAGCCGATACAGGGAGGGTTTGGGGTGTTGGGGAGGGTAGGGCAGTCACCCACCTTCCCCACGGCCATCCTTATACCCTGCATACCACTTTTTTAACTACAAATTGTCCTTGTTTACTTTTACGCATTTTAATAATAATAATAATAACAATTTTCTTAAAACACAAACGACTCAGCGCTACTCATTCGACACAGCACTGTTTACAAATATCATTATACAGTATATAAAATTTAAAACTTCAGATTAATTTAAAACTAATTAGTACAGAAGGAAAAGCTAAAATGGCATAAATTTTATGGACAAAATAATTTTTAAAATTCTCTGAAAACCAACATAACTGCCACTGATAGGGACATTTGACTTATTGGTAAAATTGGACCTTAAACCGGTTGCTGCAATCTCGAGACCTCTATGACCGTATGTTTTAGAGTCTTTTTTTTTTTCGCTTTAGTAGAAATTGTCCACGTCTGTAGTGTTCTCATGGAACTAGCTAGTTCTATAATAAGAACAGCGGCAGATTTTGAAAGTCATGCGTAACATTTCATAAAATATTTGCCTCTTTTCGCTCGGTAAAAGAATATATCGCTGTGGATCGCTCCCCTAACCTAAACACTGGGCCCGTCGGTGCCCGGAGAGGTTATCCGGGAAATTACACGCAGCTCAGGGCGGTTCAGTATAGGGTTCGGTGTGGCCGAGACCGGTGTATCGAAACTGAGGGTCTATGTAACAGAAATTCCGCCCTCCATTTACTTATAATGGTTAGGGTTAGCCTGACCTAAGTGGGTCAAATCTTGGACGAGACTGACCTGTACAAATGAATGGGAAACGGACTCCCTATCGTGGGAGACTCTCAGGAAATGGTTACTATATCAAAACCCGCCCCTGCACTTGTGAAGCCAGTGACAATCCCTGCTGCCATAGATTTACATCTTGAAGGAATATTTTTTCAATTAAAACAACTAATTGCGTATGTATATATTTTCTTTCAGTCCGCTGTTACGATTGCCATGGTGACTTCTGCATCTCGGCACTTCAGAACAACCCTGAGCAGGTTAGCCAGTGTGAGACCACGGGGAAATGCTTCATACGAGACGACCAAAATGGCTGTAAGTCTTACGAGGTGGCTTAGAGGACTCAATTGCGTAGTTTATCAGTATCCCCGGTATAAAATACGTTAAGTCCTGTTTATTTTTTATTATGAGCGTCCACTTCTTTGACACACAGGGTTTGTACGTATAGCGCACACCAACGTGCGTTTGAAATCATTCTACAATTACTGTACTTTATCAAACAAGTTTTTTTTCTTTGTTTGCTACTTCATAATATAGGTCGAACAGTTTACCCAGCTCACAAAAGAATGTTACAAAAACACTGAGGGAACATTAGGAATAACGTTTGTAAACGTCAGGAAAGTTTTGTCAATGATTTCGGAACGTTTTTGGGAAACTTTACACAAAGAAAATTAAGAGAACATTAAAATATGTTAAAATATGGTCATATGGCTCTGTCTCATGTAGATCACCAGTGTATTTGTCTATTTGGTAAGATATTTATTTTATTTCATTTTATCTATCTTATTTTGTTAATTAACCATTATCAGATGACCGTGAAGTACTATTTATGGAACTCAGTTCATTCACTCTGTGTTAGCTGACCTTGCCAGCAAGTTTACTGGATTATTTCTGAAAATGAAGTTCAAACAATTGACTAGTTCATCATAAAACCCCAAACAACTATCAAGATTACTTAAAAACGTATTTTTAAATAATTTTGATAATGTTCGTATTAAAGTCTATTTAATCCTTCCCGGAAGAAATAAACACTAAAACATGGTAGTTTATCCAATATAATAGTTTGCTTAAGTTTTCATCACATTATTTCGGGTTCTGAAATCGGCACGTGAGAATAACGTTTCTTCACGTTTCCTGATGGTCTCACCAATATATAACTATGTGGTAACGTTATGAATGTGTTCTGCGTTATCTGGGTACCCACTCCGGTATCACATTTTCATTGTTTGTCGGATATTTTACATGTATACAGACAGACAATACAAAGGGTATTGATCGAGTTCAAGTATTACATTATACAGTAATCTCGTTGAAAAAATGAATTAATCAATCAGAAAATATTTAATTAAGTAAATAGTCTCATTTTGTTCTGTTACCTCAATTTTAAAATGGCAACCAAGGGTGTTTTCCCTCTCGTTTTCGTTTTGGTCGCGGTATGTTGTCCATTAATTTGGGTCGCCATTTGAAATGTATAAATAAATTAAGATGGTGGTTTATGCCCCTAATTTCAGATGTTTACCGTGGCTGTACTGACGAGACCTACTATCCTGGTATGGACACCAGTCAGAATGGCTGCCGTACTCACCCCCAGTACTGGGCCCAGGCCGTGTGGTGTCTGTGTGACACGGAACTGTGTAATGGGCTTGACACTACTACCACCACGACACCACCTACCACCCTGGCACCTACCACACCCTCTACTGTAACAGCTTCCCAACCGCCACCGTCAACAACACAGCCGCCACCGTCGACAACACAACCACCACCGTCAACAACACAACCGCCACCGGCAACAACCCAACCCACGCTATCACTCCAACCAACAAGCCCCACAACCACCCAAATTCCCACCCAGACCGTACCCGTGGTTGTGGATCTAACCCCTCCCCTTCCGACGACACCTCAAGAACCGTCTGGGGGCGTCACGCAAACTGTTGGTGCTGGCGACGGTACCCCAGTGGAACCACCCGGCCCCATTGATGGTACCCCCGTGGAACCAACCGGACCCATTAGTGGTACCCCTAATGAACCGTCGAGCACAACGCCCCCGACTATCCTTATAATCCAAGGCACGTCTAGGACCGGTTCTGGGGCAGTGCCATCCGGTACGGTGCAATCCGGTATGGCGCCATCCAGTGGTACAGGCGTGACCGGAAGTGGTTCGAGCACAAGAACATCCGGTATGATACCAAATGGTGCCGGAGTCAGTCAGGGCACGGGAGTGGGTGCTAACACCTCAGGAATGAGAGCCACCAGTGGCTCCATGGCAACCCCCGCTATAGCCAACCCGCCAACAGCCATGGGACAGACAGTACCAGGGTCAAACACCCAAACCCAGCCACCTGCAGGAAATAACGACATGATGACGCTGTTACAGATGTTAGGCAATGGGTTAACTAGCAACCTACCGGGACCCAGCATAGGGTCGGGAGGTGGGACGCCAGCGTCGGTCTCCCCGCCACCTACCCCGGTCAGACCGACGGCGGCAACTCCCTCTACACAGGATCCATTCCTATCCTCTCTACTGGCGGCACTGACCACAACACCAGGTAAGAGAAGAACGCGTTTTAACGCTTACAAGCTAGATTTATTCAGAAGAGATGGCAAAAGAAGGCAATTCGCTTATTGGCTAACAATTATTATGATTAAACTCAAAGAAAATATTATTTGGAAATGAACTCATGTCATCCAGGTCCATGCAGTTTAATTATTCCAATTTGGTTTAGTTGGTTCATGAGGTGGAATGGTTATTTTGACATATGAAAAAAAAACATTAACCGTTGACTTTTCCTCGCACGTCATTTCTTTGTATCAGGATTTTTATCGAATGTGAAACTAAATCTAAACGTAAAAATCGTGAAATTCATCAAAAGTTGACTTTTTAGCGAAAGTTTCAGGACCATAGGGTTGTGATGGAGGGGGGGGGGGCGCTTTTTATATATATATATATATATATATATATATATATATATATATATATATATATATATATATATATATATATATATATTTTTTTTT